CAATCTTAACGAAAATCTTCGGGTTGTTTATCACAACACCCCCTAACTTTATAAATTGAAGAAACCTCCTGAACTGTCACTAGAATACTATGAGTAGTTTGTTTACGTTGGCACGTATTTTGCAAGTGATATATTTTGGAGAATGTTGTCCCTCTACGCATACTCGTTATATTCCTCTCTTCTTGGGATAGGGTAGGCATACAATAATAAGGGTGACTTTAGACCTATTACCTTTCACGTTAACGCTGTTTATACAAATTTCATCAAATTTATTTGAATAGTTTTGAAATCAGAGAATTTTTCTCTGATCTTTATAGTTTAGGTTGATTTTGTCCAAAACATACCAAAATTTTATTTTCTTTTGGGGGGAGGGGGTTTTTTGGTGATTTTTTTTATTTTTTTATTTGGTGGGGTTTGACATCTATTTCCTCTTAGGGTCCACTCATACACTTTAACTCCCTATAGGGCCAGGGGGCTAAAGAAACACATTATGATATGAAGGCTACACTTGATACAAACCAATTGTTCAGCAAGCATTAACTTCAAAATTTAATGTCGTTGACTGTCAACCTGTTTCGTGATCAGGCTGAAGGAAAGAAAAGGATGAAAGCAATTGGCAAGGTTGACGTTCCCCAAGAGGCTTTCATGGCTGTGCTAAGGCTGGAGAAGGAGGTTATATAATATTGGGCTCATTCAGTGCCAATTCACAGAGTCCTTACTTGCATGATGTTTGATGCCATTCCAAGATAAAATTTCCAAGTACAGGTGGTTATTATCGGCTTTATATCTTTTTCAAATTCATCATGGCTTAAAAATGTACGGAAGTGCAAGCGATTACCCTGAAGCATTAAGGGGATAAAAGGCAGACAAAAGAATTGGCTGTTATAGTATCAAAAGGTAGTCATGAAAATTTTCCGAAGCTCATAGGCCTAAAAGAAATAAAGGGTGAAAAACTGTAAGTCTTACTTGGTATTTAGGAAGGGTGAAAAACTGTAAGTCTTACTTGGTATTTAGGGATCGCTACTACTTTTGTATATTTGAAGTCTTGGTGTATTGACGTATGATCCCTGCTTTGTGGTTAACATAGTAATGTTGGAGAAATATTGCTTCATGTTCTCTCAGCTTTTTGAGAGAACCTAAACTTTTTGAATTACTGGTTTGTGATTCTAGGTTTCAAGCAAGCAAAGATCGATACTATTGCTGAGATGCTGCAAATTTGTTGCTAATTCCATTATTGCAGGGCGTGTTTGACGAAACTAAGGGTGTGTTTGTTTCATATCCCAAATATCCAAGAAAACAAATCGTGTAGTAAAAGATCATTTCCATGTTTTTCCATTTTTTTCTTGGAAAGTGTTTATTTTGTTTGTTTCACCCAAAAAAATTCGTTGGATATGATTTCCACTCTACTTTCTCAGTTTGACTCCAACAAAGAAAGTGGATGGAAAATTACAAACCATCATATATTTACAAACATATCAAGCAATCATAATTTAGTTCATAACAGACTAAACAAATTGAAATGAAGGCAACATATACTTACAAAACAAACTGAAGCATTTGTCAACCACATGGGTTGGAGAAATGATGAGGCTGCAACATATCAAAGAATACGCATTAGAAGTCGTATAGCAAAATGTACTCAAACAATGATAGGCCCAGATAAAATTATTTCATCATCGTATGCGACATCAAAGTTTATGTATTAGCATTGTAGACTGCAAAATATTGCCTCACCTAAACATATGCAACATGAAACTTTGATTGTAAATCTTACAATGTGTTCTCAAAGCAATATCATCATCATAGCCTAATTATTAACAACAAAATCAAATAGAAACCCGTCATGAATTGAGTGTTTAGAACCTGAATAACAATAACAACATGTAACTATGAGCAACTGAAAACAATTCTCAGGTTGGATCTAGCAAAAAATACTTTGCAGGCAACAAGGGAACCCTTGATGAGCTTCCAAACACACATATCAACAAAAAGTTAGTTCATGAAGCAAGATATGGATTGAATAAAGATGAACAATTTTGTATGACCCCTTGTGTATGCTCGTAATCAGTTTGCAGCCAATATATATTTACAAAACAAGCTGAAGTATTTATCAATCACATAGGTTGCAGCTGAGCCAACAATATGAGCAACTAAAATAAATTCTCACATTGAATCTAGAAATGAGTGATAAAAAGCCAATAGAGAAACCAAAACCACTCAATAAAACAAAGAAATGAGCATGTTGGAGCACCAACGGTCAAACAAAGCACCAACGGTCAGAAAACCAATGGTAACAAGAGGGACCATCGAGGGAGAGAAGGATTTGAGCACAAACTTGTTTAAAAATATACCAAGTGTATACCTGGGCAGTCATGAAACATTTTAAGAAGCTTGCATTGCAGCTTGTTACAACCCAAAACAAACACAAATTTTGGTTTGTTATAAGATGATGAAATCAGAAAGGTCTCATGCACATGAAGATTGATGTTTTTTCAATATTCCCACGCCACTAAAGCACTGCAAGAATGAAAAGAATGGGGGGAAATATTTTTGGGGTTGTACAACATACCCAAACAGAAAATGCAAATTTTTTTCACTGGGCTCAAGATGGACAGATCGCTAAATTAGTATTAGAGACTAGTGACAAAGTTGTCAACAAAAATTAGTAAGCCAAAGCAAAGCAATTGAAGAAAGAACTAAGGCTTGCACGTCAACAAATAGCAACATTAAAGCTTGCTCTAATTTTGACTCTCTTTTTTTCATGGTCATTATGTAGCAACACTTGTAGTTTGCACTTTGTTTATCAAATGAATAACATGGAATAAAATTCAAGGGAACATGGAACATGGAATATGAGAAAAGAACATGGAAACCAACATATGAGTTAACTGAGCTGAAGCATTCCACTATCAAAGAAGTCATGAAAAATGAGATTTTATCTAGTAGCAATTCAGAAAATTCATGGGAAAAATACAACAAAAACCATCAATTCAGAAAAGAACATGGAAACCAACATATGAGTTACTGACCTGAAGCATTCCACAATTAAAAAAGTTAGGAAAAATGAGAGTATATTTAGCAGCAATTCAAAAATTTTATGGGAAAATGCAACAAAAAACCATCAAATAAGTCATATATTAAAGAATACACAAAGCTGAAGTAGATTTTGAGAATAAAATTGTAGGAAATCAACAAATAGGCATAGATATTTTTATTTCATCAACGTATGTCACCAAAGAATAACTGCTAGTAATGTAGGCTATAATTTCTTGCCTCGCCTAAACATGTGCAAGTAAATACTTTGATCGCATATCTAAAACTATTTTCTTAAATGAATATTATCATCGTAGCCCTCACTAACCTTGAATGAGCACAGTAAATCTGTCTCTTGTAAGAGCCCTTTCTCACATCATATATTGATTGCAAAAAGTCACAATCCTGCATGAAATTGAACACAACTGTGTAAATACAATTGAGTGTAGGACCAAACTGAGGTATAGTCCAACATAATTAACATGAAAAATGAGTTCAACAGATATGAGTAGCAGCATAAACTATGCTACACAGAGCAGCAACCATTTGTAATAGTTATATAACAAACCATCATTAACAATAACAATGCCTCATTTATATTGTCTCGAGGCATATTAAAGTGTCACAAAAGTAATCACAGAAGCTAGCATTTGTGCAAATATAAACATGTAATGGTTATACATGTAAAGCATCCAAATAAACAAAAGTATCAACCAAAAGCAAAACACTTCTATGGGCATCAGATGCCTTCAACATCCAGTCCATTATCCTTCACGGCAAGATACCTAGACTGACTCTCCACAGATTTACCTATAAAGTACCTTGCCTCGTTCTCATCTCTAAATGTTTATCATATAACTTGTCAAGAACCAAGTTACTGTATTCACCTTTATGTGATTGTATAACCTGAGATAACTTCTTGGTCAAGTGAATCATATGAGCATGTTGAATTGAGTAAAACACAGAATCCACTTTCTCTAAGAGCTTACTAATGATGTCAATATCTTCATTTGATTTAGCAACCTTCTTCTTGCCTTTTGGTTTATTGCTAGTGTTAGCACCACTTGTTGAATTGAAGTTAGTAGGTTGTGTGGAAGTGTAAGTGATATTTTCAACTTGCTTATCATCAGTATTGCTAGCATGTTTCCTTGAACTAGGTGTAGGAAATTCCTCATCTTCGTCTGAAATAGGGATGTATTTACTAGACCCAAAACTAGAAAAAATATCTAAAGTTAAGTCCCCTTTTGCTTTATCATCCCCTACAATAATTTGTAGATTCTCATAGTGTACGAGAGGCTTGTTGAAATAATCTTTTAGCTTAGAATTGGAAGCTTTGTTACCCTGTACATAAGAAAGCATATATAAGTCTAGAATTAGATACAAATGAAGTTAGGAAAAAATAAAATTGTAAAAAACATGAGACAAATAATACCTCAGACCACCTATCATATGAAACTTCATCCAATGTAATGGATTTAGTCTCACTGTCCCATCCTACACCACTCATATTAGCACAAGCTTACATCGCATAAAATTGTTTCTTCAAGCTCTTCATACGATTAATAACACTTTCTTTACTAAATTCAGACTTGCATTTGTTAGTAATATGAGCAGCAACCACGCTAAAAGTGGCCTTTTTGAAATTTTTATTGGGTTTGAATCCATATTTGACCAACTTTGCAAAGATAGGGAGTAAGCACATCATCATGATGAGGTACCAATTCCTTATTACCTGAGCCCTTTGAACCCATATCAGATATGTCATTTCTTGATGTCTTCTTTTCTTACTAGCCATTCTCTTTTTTTAAGTGAGAGAATTTTCTTCCACTTCCTCTATGGAAGTCCTCTGTTTTCCTGTAAGATTAGGACAACCCCTCTGTCAAATGATGGCGGTAAATCCCACCACTACCTTGTGAACTATGACCAAGCTAGAGGTAAAGGCTAGGCCTATTGAGCATGTTCATGTAGGTCATTTGTGGCTATGAAATCGGAAAAGATTCCCTTCATAACCTGTAAAACCTGAGTAGTATGCGGCTGAGTTTGGAAAAGACATAAACCCCATATTGTACGCATTGGATTGCTTTTCACTAGATGGTGAAGGAGTCATAGATTTGTTGGCATCAATCTTTTTGCACCATCATCCATTCCTATGAAATGCATTTAAACCAATCATATATGATGGGGAAAGTAAATCATATTATAACAATAATTATACAACACATAATTACATTGCACATATAATATGAAATGCTTTAAAACTAATCATATATGAAGGGAAAATTTAAACCAACTATCACATTCATAAAACACAAATATGAAAAGTACATTGCACATATAATTATACAACAAAAATACGAAAAGTAACAAATTTAGTATAAGTCTTAGACAAATTAAAATAGAGTTTTGACTCTAAAGGATTTTAAGCACACTGCACACATGAAATTAGTCTATTCTAGTTTCAGTTGTGTCACCCGCATGATGTCGGACACAATAATCTACTTGCATTTCCCAAGCAATTTGATCCCTACGACCTCTCCATTCATTTCTTGATTTTGTTTGCTCTCTTTGAGTCTGTGTTTGAGTAAAGTCTACTACATTTTCTCCTCATTTGCTAATTCACCATCATCATCTTCATCATACAGAGTCTCATTAAGGAAGTCATCCTTGGGATCCTCTATTACAATATAATTATGAAGTACTGCACAAGCGAGAGCAATATGGACTTGTGTGCGAAAAGGGTAATGAGGCTTTGCAGAAAGAATCTTGAATCAATTCTTGAGTATTCCAAATGTATATTCAATTTTAGACCTAAGAGATGAGTCTCATAAATTAAAATACTCTCTTCAATTTCCAGATGTTATTCCGACATACTCTTTTAGGGAGAGATGAAACCAGGCATAATAGTGTACCCCACATCACAAAGGTAATATTTTTCCTACATATTACATCATAAAAAAGTTAATAATTGCCTCATTTTTAAAAAAATATGGCAATGCTGTTAAAAGATTAATTTTGTTACCATCATAGACTCTCAATCCATGAGGTTGCGGTCTTAAAAGTGCATCTTGAAGGACTCTATAATCGTTAGTTGAGCCCTCCCATCCCGCTAGCATGTACATG